ATTTTTTTAACTTTTTTTTTTGACAAATAGAGTTAGACAGTGTAAAAGAGAGACAGAGAGAAAGGTCTTCCTTCTGTTGGTTCACCACCCAAATGGCCGCTATGGTCGGAGCTATGCCGATCCAAAGCCAGGAGCCAGGTGCTTCTTCCTGGTCTCCCATGTGGGTGCAGGCACCCAAGCCATCCTCCACTGCCATCCTGGACCACAGCAGAGAGAGCTGGACTGGAAGAGGAGCAACCAGGACTAGAACCCGGCACCTGTATGGGATGCTGGCACCGCAGGCAGAGGATTAACCAAGTGAGCCACGGCACCAGCCCCTATATTTTAGTTATTAACAGTCTAAAATAGTCTCCCCATATCCATGATTTCATATTCCACAGTTTTGGGTACCTGGGGGTTATCTGTGGTCTGAAAATACTAAATGGAAAATTCCAGAAATAAATAATTGGTGAATTTTAAGTTGTGTGCCATTCTCAGTAGCATGATAACACCTCAGTCCATTCTGCTGCTCTTTCCCAGGACGTGTATTGTTTTGTCCAGTTTATTTGTGATGTGTATGCTACCTGCCTTTTAGTCATTGGTAACCATCTTGGTTACTATAATATGTAGGGCTCAGTACTATCTGTTAGGAAACTGGTGCAGTTTTAGCCAGGTTGCCACATGGCCGAGTTACCTGAGCCAGGCTCCACCCCCATCCTAATGGGATTCACTGCTCCTGCTTCCCTGCCCGCCCTCGGGCAAAGTTTTAAAAGGGTCTGTTCCTGAACATGTGCTCTCTTGGCTCTGGGCTCTTCTCTCTTGGTTCTTCCCTCTTGGCCCTTCCCTCCTGCTCTCTTGGCCCTTCTCTCCTGCGCTCTCTCGGTTCCTCTCTCTAGCCTCCTCCTCTGGTCTCTTGGCTCTCTCTCTCGGCTCCTCTCTGCTCTCTTCTCCCTTGCTAGCTTCTCTCCTCTCTGTTTCTCTCTCATATTCTCTTTCTCTCTTTTTCCTTTGCCGCCCCTTCACTCTGGTCTGTTGGGTGTTCCCCAATAAACCCTTTCCCTTACTCTGGTGTTCGGTGTGTTTTGCGACGGCTAACATTAATATATAACACTATCTACAGTTTTGAGCAACCTCTTAGGATCTCTGAACAAAGCCCCTGAGGATAATGGGTGACTGCTCTATTTTAACCTGATAGTAACTTAACTTTGCATACAAAAATTAAGCAATTTTATTCTACTTACACATATTTATCTTTTATATTGTATATCCCTTAACATTCTGATTACAGTGATTTAAAAACTTTATTTTTAATTTTATACTAAAGGTGAAAATATTTATGTACTACCATTACATTAATAGAATAATTTGTATTTGAATATAAGATTACCTTTACCAGTGAGTTTTGATATATTTTCAAATATATCTTTTGATATATTTATTTTTATTTTTATTTTTATTTTTATTTATTTATTTATTTATTTATTTTTTGACAGAGTGGACAGTGAGAGAGAGAGAGAGAGAGAGAGAGAAAGGTCTTCCTTTGCCGTTGGTTCACCCCACAATGGTCGCTGCGGCCAGCACATCACGCTGATCCGAAGCCAGGAGCCAGGTGCTTCTCCTGGTCTCCCATGCGGGTGCAGGGCCCAAGCACTTGGGCCATGCTCCACTGCACTCCGGGGCCACAGCAGAGAGCTGGACTGGAAGAGGGGCAACGGGGACAGAACCGGGGCCCCAACCAAGACTAGAACCTGGGGTGCCGTGCCGCAGGCGGAGGATTAGCCTATTGAGCTGTGGTGCCGGCTTGATATACTTTTGATGTGCTGTTAATTAGTGTCCTTTCATTTCAACTTGAAGAGCTCCCTTTAGCATTATATTTGTTTAAAAGAATTGGTTAGGCTGGCGCCACAGCGTCCATTGGGGGGTGAACCAACGGAAAAGGAAGACCTTTCTTTCTGTCTCTCTCCCTCACTGTCCACTCTGCCTGTCAAAAAAAAATTTTATTTATTAATTTGAAAGAGTAACAAAGAGATATCTTCCACCTGCTGTTTCATTTCCCAAATGCCTGCAACAGCTGAGACTGTGCTAGGCGTGAGCCAGGAGCCAGGAATTCCATCTGGGTCTCTAATGTGGGTGACAGAAACCCTAATATTTGGACCATCATGGCTGCCTTCTAGGTGCATCAGTGGGAAGCTGGATGGGAAATGGAGTAGCGGGGACTCAAACTAGCATTCCAGTATGGGATGTGAGCTTCTTGAGCAGTGGTTTTACCTGCTGAGCCATAGTGTCTGCCCCTAGTATTTCTTTTAAGTCAAATATCTGTTGATGAATTCTCCCAACTCTTGTCTGTCTGGGGCAGTTTTTTTTTATCTCTTCTTCATTTCTGTTGGACAGCTTTGTAGGGTATAATATTCTTAATTTGCCCTTTTTCTCTTTCAATACATTAAATGTATCATTCCATCTCCTGACATGTAAGGTTTCTCCTAAGGAATCCACTGTCATGCTTATGGGGACTCTTTTGTATGTGGTGAGTTGTTTTTCTCTTTTTAATTCAAAATATTCTTTGACTTTTGACAGTTTGATCATAATGTGTCTCTGTATAGATCTCTTTACATTTAATTAATTTGGGATTCTTTGAGCTTCATGAAATTTTGATTTTTCATTTCTTTAAATGCTTATTTTATTTGAAAAAGAGAGGGAGGGAGGGAGGGAGGGAGCAAGGGAGAGAGAGAGAGAGAGAGAGAGAGAGAGAGAGAGAGAGAGATCTTCTATCTGCTGGTTTACTCCCTCCTGAAGCCCACAGCAATAGTTGATGCTGGCCCTGGCTGAAGCTGGGAGCCAGGACCCCAGTCTGGATCTCTCCCATGTGAGTAGCAGGGACCCAAACACTTGACCCCAAACTGCCGCCTCCCTGGGGATTATTCTGACCTTTGTCAGGTAATTCTTATACCCCCATTTCTTTAGGCCTAGTTTCTGGAGATTTGTGTTGGCTATATTTGAATGTTCCGAGTTAGTTTGTATTGGTGTCTGCACATGTGAAAAATACCCACTTCCCTTAGTCTTTATGGGCTGGCTTTGTACTGGAGAAGACCCTCACGAATTAGCCCATGGAGAGATTTTTAAGGCTCCTCACAGTTTTTCTGTGGCTCTTCTCTGGGCTTTTGTGTGTGAATTAGTTTTGCCAGTTTTATTTTTAGGAGCTCATCATCTCTTGCTCCCTCTGGTGTTTGTCTCCTGTACTGCAGGTCCTCTGTTGCAGTAGTATACTGGTTCATCTCTGTTTACTTTTTTGTTTTTATCCACCACTAGGCATTTTGATGATACTCAGTCCCATACGTACTTGAAGATGGGAGAGACAATAACAAGTCCTTTAGACAGTTTCCTGCAAAATCTGAATGTTGGACACGTGTCTCAGTTTTCTCTTTCCCTCCCCAGGGGAGGAGTGTGGGCTGGGACTTTACCATTTATGTCATGCTGACCCAGGGAAGGGCTCTTTCTGCTTCTGTGCCTACTACTTCAGATGTCTGCCTGTGTTCTTAGTGTGCTGGTCCTTTCACCATTTAAAGAATCCAGTCCTGTGGGAAGTCTTCTTCCAAAGTCAGAATGCTGGATGGATGCTCCAGCTCTCTTTCCTTAGGGAGAAGTTGGGATTTAGAGATTTTTCCCTGCTAGTTCTATGCGATGCTTGTGGGATGGACTATGGCCAGGTACTAATAAGTGTCTCCATTGATCTCCGAAGTTCCCAACCTTGGTTCTTTGCCATTTTCCTGTTAGAACTTCGATTCGGTCAAATTAGAAACCAGTCCTTCTGGTTGCCTCCAAAAAGTCAGAACATGGACTGTCCAGTCCTCTCTTTCCCTTCCCTGGGGGAAGCCTATGAGCTGGGGGTCTCCTCCAAATCTTGTATGCTCTGTTGGCAGGAGGACTTAAGGAAGAGAATGCCACAGAATTTCTACCAGCTTCATTGTGGTTGGTTTCACGTTTGCCTGGGATGCACAGCATCTTGTCTGGTCTTGTGATGTCTCATAAAGAGAATTGGTCCCCAAATCGAGTTTGTCTATGAGAGGAAGGAGAAGTTGGGCTTCCTGTCTTGCTACCTTTCTGACAGCATCCTGTCAGCTAGATCAGAAGTAGAGATGCTGGCATTCCAGGAGGTGGTTTTACCCGCTGTGCCATAGCACTGGCCCCATTACTTGTCTCTCTATCTGTAAAGGGGTATGTCTGTATTTCTGTTGTGTTAGAGATCAGTGTAGATACTTTGAGGGTGTTTCTGTATTACACTTGAAACACTTTGGTATTATTAGGAAAAGAGTGAAAGAGAAAATTTATGTTTCTTATAGTTTATTGCTTCAGAATACAAAAGAACGTGTCAGGGAATTTTACTAAATGCACTGATTTTTTTTTTATTTCTGTGTTGGTTTTGACATTCTGAGATTAACTGAGTTGCAGTATCCTTTTTCTAATCGACACAGATATCATGAGTCACTACAATCATAATATCTACATTGTAGGCTGTCATGATAAGCACAGGGCTTGCTATTCTGTGTGGTAGGCAGCATTGTTACCCATAAAGAGATTTTTAGGGTAGAGCTTTTTTTCTCATCCATTCTTACATTGAGACCACCAGCCATATCACTCAATTTGAGGCTTGGTGTTCAAGTTAATTGTGTTTCCAGCTGGAGACAGTCTGATGGCAAGAAATGAAACTTGTGTGCCTAATGTCTTGTTTCTTACAGTACCAGAAGCCATCACAGTGATACTGACCTCCTCTTTTTGTTTGCTCAGCTGTCTTCTCAAAAGCTAACTTGTGCAGTGGCTGTGCTGTACTTGGCCTTCATGGGAACATGTTTGGGGGCAACATAATGAATTCAGTTTTTGGTGCACTGAGTTGGTGGTAGAGCTACTCAGGATGTGTCTGTAATGGGTTTGGGGGCCAAGGGAACCCTGTGGGCTGGTGGTGTAGATTTAGCAAACAGACATTCTCCTTAATGTTTGAAAAATGAATAGTGTATTTTATCATCCAGGGAATGTGTGCAAAATGGAAATAGATGGTGTCAGTTACAGAGCCCTGGGATTGCAGCGTGTGTGGGGTGTGCAGAGAATGAAGAGCTGGTGAAGGCTCGTGTGGAGGTTTCTGAAGGGTAAGATGAGGAGCAGGGAAGGATGTGATGTCTTTAATAAACTGTTCTTCACATCTCAGTGAGACCAACTAGGGTAAGAAGGTTACAACCATTTGCCTGAGTGTCTAGGAGATATTGATGACCTTATTACACCACTGCCAGGATGAGTGGAAGTCAGATGGTACTTGATTGACAGGTATATCGGGTTAGGATGTGGGTCTGATAACTTTTTTTTGAAGATTTCTTGTGAAGGAAAAGAGGTTGATTGGCACAGGACAACTACAAGTGAATTAAAAGGGTCCTGTTTTATGTATGCTCCCTGTGTAATAAATAGATAATGTTTCAGGCTTCTTTTTTATTAATGTTTTTATGAGAAGAATTATTTTAAATATTTAAGCATTTTCAATTTTTAAGTGTAGCTCCTTTTATGATGGTTTAATCAATTCTTAAGGAATAGGCCTCTATTTAGTAGGATATTCCAGATTGCCTCTTCCCATATACCAAGTTTTAGATGCTTGCTTCAGCTCAAGCATAGTGACTGATAAAATTATTCTCAAAACACTATTTTGCCTATTTTTTCCTCACTTGCTTGTAACTACTTAGACATCTGCGATAATTGAATAGAAGTATAAAAAAAGCAATAGCTCTCTTTAAAACAGATTTTTCAGACATTCTACATTACTTAGTAGCTAAGCTAAGGAATGCTATTCTCCCAGTGTTGCTACCAAGAAGTACATTAGTATTAACATTGCCTTTTTGATGGAGCCAGCGCCGCGGCTGACTAGGCTAATCCTTGCGGCGCCGGCACACGGGGTTCTAGTCCCGGTCGGGGTGTCGGATTCTGTCCCGGTTGCCCCTCTTCCAGGCCAGCTCTCTGCTGTGGCCTGGGAGTGCAGTGGAGGATGGCCCAAGTGCTTGGGCCCTGCACCCCATGGGAGACCAGGATAAGTACCTGGCTTCTGCCATCGGATCAGCGTGGTGCGCCGGCTGTGGCGGCCATCGGATGTGAACCAACGGCAAAGGAAGGAAGACCTTTCTCTCTGTCTCTCTCTCACTGTCCACTCTGCCTGTCAAAAATAAATAAATAAATAAAATAAAAAAACATTGCCTTTTTGAACAGTAGTCTGTTTTTTGGGAATACGTAACTCACAGAACTCACAGTTTGTGACTTTAATTCATTATACTGTATAATGATTGGTTTCTATTTTATATGTCTTGAATCCTCTGTTTAGAAAATAGGTATTCATAATCATCAAAATTTCATTGAATTAGTTTGAATAAAAATATATAAAAGAAACTCTAGACTAAAGTGGATGTTGGACAGTGGTATTTTTTTTTTTTTTTTTTTTTTTTTTTTTTTTTTTTTTATCTTTGACAGGCAGAGTGGACAGCGAGAGAGAGAGACAGAGAGAAAGGTCTTCCTTTGCCGTTGGTTCACCCTCCAATGGCCGCCGCGGCCGGCGCGCTGCGGCCGGCGCACCGCGCTGATCCGATGGCAGGAGCCAGGAGCCAGTGCTTTCTGTCTCCATGGGGTGCAGGGCCCAAGCACCTGGGCCATCCTCCACTGCACTCCCTAGCCACAGCAGAGGGCTGGCCTGGAAGAGGGGCAACTGGGACAGAATCCGGCGCCCCGACCGGGACTAGAACCCGGTGTGCCGGCGCCGCTAGGCGGAGGATTAGCCTAGTGAGCCGCGGCGCCGGCCTGGACAGTGGTATTTGAATATAGTTTATATTAAAGAAGACTCTTTGTTGGAATCCTTTTAAATTGGTTTTCTACCTGTCCTGTACTTACCTTGTTTTATCTGAGTTAACATCCTGCATTTTTTTTTAAAAAGATTTAATTATTTATTTGAAATTCAGAGTTACACAGAGAGAGGAGAAACAAAGAGAGAGAGTGAGAGAGGGAGGGAGAGAGGTCTTCCATCTGCTGGTTCACTCCCCAATTGGCCACAATGGCTGGAGCTGCACTGATCCAAAGCCAGGAACCAGGAGCCTTTTCTGGGTCTCCATGTGGTGCAGGAGCCCAAGGACTTGGGCTATCTTCCACTGCTTTCCCAGGCCATAGCAGAGAGCTGGATTGGAAGTGGAGCAGCCAGGACTCGAACCAGCACCCCATATGGGATGCCAGCGCTGCAGGTGGAAGCTTTACCTGCTATGCCACAGCGCTGGCCCCAGCATCTTGTATTTTTAAGTCAAAGACTTTGATATATATGAGGTTTCTGATGTGGTTCCAAAGTAATTGAAATTTTAAGTTACATGAAAGCTTGTTATTTTATATACTTGAAGACTTCATCTTGATATGGAAAAGGAGTCTAACAAAATATGGTAATATTTTTTTTAACTTTTATTTAATGAATATAAATTTCCAAAGTACGACTTATGGATTACAATGGCTTCCCCCCCACACCGTCCCTCCCACCCACAACCCTCCCCTCTCCCACTCCCTCTCCCCTTCCATTCACATCAAGATTCATTTTCAATTATCTTAATATACAGAAGATCAGCTTAGTATACATTAAGTAAGGATTTCAACAGTTTGCTCCCACACAGAAACATAAAGTGAAAAATAATAGATGATTTTTTAAAATGATGATGAAATCAGATCAGACCTATTGTCATGTTTAATCCCAGTGAGAGTCAAATTGGGAATTGATAATTTCTTTCTTTTTTTTTTTTTTACAGAAGATCAGTTTAGTATGCATTAAGTAAAGATTTCAACAGTTTGCACCCCCATAGAAACACAAAGTGAAATATACTGTTTGAGTACTCATTATAGCATTGAATCTCAATGTACAGCACATTAAGGACAGAGATCCTACATGAGGAGTAAGTGCACAGTGACTCCTGTTGTTGACTTTACCAATTGACACTCCTGTCTATGGCATCAGTAATCTCCCTATGCTGCAGTCATGAGTTTCCAAGGCTATGGAAGCCCTCTGAGTTCTCCGACTCTTATCTTGTTTAGACAAGGTCATAGTCAAAGTGGAGGTTCTCTCCTCCCTTCAGAGAAAGGTACCTCCTTCTTTGAAGACCTGTTCTTTCCACTGGGATCTCACTCACAGAGATCTTTTTGCCAGAGTGTCTTGGCTTTCCATGCCTGAAATACTCTCATGGGCTTTTCAGCCAGATCCGAATGCCTTTAGGGCTGATTCTGAGGCCAGAGTGCTATTTAGGACATCTGCCATTCTATGAGTCTGCTGAGTATCTCACTTCCCATGTTGGATCACTCTCCCCTTTATTTATTCTATCGGTTAGTGTTAGCAGGTACTAGACTTGTTTATGTGCTCCCTTTGACTCTTAGTCCTTTCATTATGATCAATTGTGAACTGAAATTGATCACTTGGACTAGTGAGATGGCATTGGTACATGCCACCTTGATGGGATTGAATTGGAATCCCCTGGTATGTTTCTAACTCTACCATTTGGGGCAAGTCAGCTTGAGCATGTCCCAAATTATAATATTTTTAAAATAGTGATCTTGGGATATATGCTTCATTTTCTATTCTCTGAATTCTCTCAATTTTGATTATTACTATTTTGGTCTCTCAGTAGGGAGCAGTACACTGGGAAGCTGCAAATAAAAACGCAGTCCTTGAGTCCTGTTTACAAGGAAGATGATCAAAATGTTACCTCAAAGATTTGTGTAAGATCAAATTTCAGTTTTGTTTGTTGTTTTAAAATAACTGCACAAAGTTTTAATTTCATATAATCAGAGTTCCACTGGTCACTTCAAAACCGGCGTGGAGTCTGAAGGTTTTGGTGACATCTTGATGTCCGTTAGTGGTGTGCTCCTCTAGTCTGTAGGATTCCTCCAGCTCCCTCAGTGATTCAGAGGGATCATGCTAATTAGTCTGTTATTTCTCCTGCGCATCAAAGAATAACTTCAAAAAGCTTCATCTTTTTGTTATTTTTCTTTTCTCTTTTGCTCACTATTTCTAAGGAAGTTATTAAATACCAAATGATCATAAAATTAAGAGAAAATTGGGATTGACTTGCAGTGCAGCAGCACTGCTCTTCTGATGCAGGTGAACTATTTATATCTTGAAAGATGAACTCTTCTCTTGCATCTATTAGCTCAGCATAGATTTGGTTTTGAACAGGTGTTAATGAGCTTTGTAGAGAAAAACTGTGCTGACTTGCTATAGTTTCTCTTGCCTAATTTTTACTGTCTTGGTTGTGTTGCAAGAGAGATCATGTGTAACAGATGACTGTTAGCACATACTGCTCTAAACCTAACTCATTGCATTTTCTCCACTGGCAGTTCGGGACTTAAAGAAAAAATTTAGTACAATGGGCAGCACATCTTTAATAATGGTTGAATAATTCAATCATCATGCTTAAAATAAAGCAGATTCATTTCTTTACTTAAGCAATTTTTGTTCATAAAAATGTACAAAAAGCAGTGGACCACCAGTAGAAGTGCTAATAAATTTTAATATAATATACAAATATTAGAAACTCAGTATCTTGTTGAGTAGAATTTGGAGAGTAAACTATGAACATTTTAGTGCATTTCTGTAACTTCATAATTATTGTAAATGATGATAGGTAAATAAGTTTGTTAGTTATGAGGCTTTCTGAAAGCATAAGAATACTATATTGACAAATTTAATTTTAAAATAAAATGCTTTGACTATAAAATAATCATTATTGTTTTACACAGATTTAGCTTCCTAAGATTTTAGAGCTTTAAGATCCTTATCCATCCAAGGCATAATTCTTAGGTAACTTTCAGTTTATTACAGTTATCTTGCTATATAAATGTGCAGTATAATAAATTGCATAGAAGGAAGAAAAGCAAATAATTTTTATTTTTTAAAAAACGTCATCATAGTTGTGTTTTCATGATGTGAATCCAGAGCTTGTTTCTCTTTATGTTCAGTGTGTGAGTGAGAATTAATTTAAGAACAAAGAGCTTCTTGGACATCAACTTAAAACTTCTCTGTTAACTAATTTGAATGCGAGTAAATAATTCATCTTTTCAAGAGCCCCCCTCACTTTAAAGCTACTGTGGTATACCACAATTAAAACTTTTTGTAAAAGAACTTAAAGAGAAGAGTCTGAAGAGCCTGGATTAATTTTTAAAATATTCTTTTGATGTTTTTTTCCCCCTGGAATCTAGTTACTGTGTGAATATATTGTTAAGGCATCTCATAGCCCTAAGCAGCTATAATAAACAGTCGTTCCTTAGAATTGAGAACGAAGCTCAGTTGCAACATAATCCTTTTCTCTGAGGGCAATATGGTATTAGCAACCAAGTGAACAAAACTTTCATTACTCCTAACGACATATCTTTTGTGCTGTCTTCCTACTTCCTCCCTCCCTCCCTCCCTCCCTCCCTCCCTCCCTCCTTACCTCCCTCCTTCCCTCCCTCCCTTCCTCCCTCCCTCCTCTCTTCCTGCTCTTCTCCTCCACTTCTCTCTCCTTCCCTCTCTCCGTACTTTTTCTTCTTCCTTCTTTCTTCCTTTATTTCTTTACTTTTTCTTTCTTCCCTTCTCTTTTTTTTTGTATTTCAGGAAGTTCATGTGAGAAAACCTCCTGTATCTTTGGATGACAGTGACATTGAAGCTCGCCTTAATAGTTGGAATCTTGGGGTAAAAATTTGTTTTATTTATATATTGATGTAAAAGAATCATACTTCGTGTGGATTGTCTCTGAACTGATTTAATTCTGTTCAGTGGATACCAGATGGTAGACATTTAGTACTGCATTGGCCCTAAGTACAGTAAAGAGAAATAACATTCCAAAATATTTGCTGTTATGACAAAGCTAGATTTCTAGCTCATGAACTATACACATAAAGTAGCTAAATACTAATTTGAGATGTTATTTAATAAAACACCAAAATGAGTTATATGGATATTAGAATACTGAGATAGAGGAGAGGGAGGGGAGAACTTAAAGAGAAGCAAGTTCATTTGGATTAAAGATAGGGAGGTTTCATGGATGAATAGTAATTGTGGACAGCAGTTTTCATGTACAGGGTTCTGAGGGACATGGAAATATTTGGTTAGATGAAGAGGTGGGGGAGGTAGAAATTCAAGAAATGCACATGAAGGAAGATTTAGTAGTAGCAGTGAAATGTCATGTCTGGATCTTTGGGATTTATATATGGAATTAGTGCATGGTATTGTTAGCATGGATCATTTTGGAACATTGAATGCTAACTTGCAAAGTGTAGTTTTTAAATTCTAGGTTATGTTGAACTTTGGAAAATTTTTCCTTCCACATGCCACTTTGCATATTTGCTATTTAAATGATTTTAGAAAATCAAAAAGAGCTTAAAATTATTTTTATCATATGAAATTTTGCAAATTGAAAAATACAGATAATCAAAGGAATAAAGCATATTTCAATGCAGGTAATTTATAATGTAGATATTTTATTTTTGGACATCTAAGTTTCTCCCAGCTTGTTGCAAGTATAAATAGATGAGTAATACTGCAGTAAAATTCATTAGAAGAATCTCTTTTTTTTGGTTGTTTTCTTAGGTTACATTATATCTTGAGTACAATGCCTTCCAGAAGGTTTGTACCAGTTCCAACCTTTGTTATATCCGTTATCCATTTCTCACTATTAGCTGATATTAGGAATCATTAATTAAAAAAAAAAAACGCTAAAAACTTTCCTGCTAATATTGACCTCTAATGAAAGAAGTACTTTAGCAGAGTTGACTGGGACTTGTGGACATTATATTGTTGTGAGTATAAATGGAGAAAGGGGACCAGTTACCTTTTAGGTGTTTATAGTTTATGTTAGTGTGGTTATTGCAAAGATGAAAAAGACGGAAAGGAAAGACCATTGAGACAGGAGTAAAAGATGCTTAGTGACTGATTGGACTGCTAAACTGAAGGACACCTAAGGGTTTGCTTCTGAGAAATGGAAATGTTGGCTTTTTCACTTCATAGTGAAAATGAAATGGGGAATCCCATTTTAATGGTTTAAAGTTTTATTTTAGATTGGTGGGCTGTAATGAGATGGTTAGGTTAATTGGAGAGGTCAAGACCTAGAGCTTCATGAAATTCAAAGACTGGAGGTCTGTTCTGGAGTCCGTATTGCTAGAGGTGGTAGCTGCATCCAGAGACTAGAACAGCCCTAGTCTGGAGAATACAGAGCAAGAGAGCTGAGTGGAGAGATGAGAGTGAGGACATCTGGTGTGTGGAATGGGCACAATTAGGAGATTGGGCAATGCATAGGAAATGAAAGTAATGTGGATCTATGGTTAATTTTGGGAGTATGCAAATAAGAGTAGAGAGAAGTAGAATGAAAGGCGGATAATAAATCAAAAGGAAAACGCTTTCATGTTTGAAGGTGTGGGGGAAGTTGCCATTGGAGGAAGTCCTGTTACCAGTGTGGGAGAAGAGCACAGGAAATCCCTTAGAAAGACAAATGCTCCTGCCAGAGGCAACATCAAAGTGAAAAGTAAAATTTGGAGCTATCCTTTTAAACTTGCCTTTGCCTTTAGCCATTCGAAACTTCTGATGTATGTTTCTAGCTCATGGAATACTTTTCACGATTACTTAACTGTTCATAGGATTAAATCTCATATTGGTATAATAAAATTAAAATAAAACATTAAAATATTTTGAAATAGTGCCTTGAAAGTAGGCTTACTTTAGGTTTTGTTTCACATTTTTATTGTTCAAAGAGTGCACTAATAGTGTAAATATATCAAAGTCTTATATTTTTATATATTTATAACATCTATGCATTAATCATTCTGAACTGTATCTCTTGATCACAGTAGAATAATGTCAGTTTATTAGAAGGCTTAGATTTTTTTTCTTTTTGCTTTGGTTTTAATTTTATCTGAGAATACATAACTTTTTTTCTTCTTATGAATGATCAGTTAATAGCTGGAGTTAATTTTTGTCCTGTAAATTAAGGATACTTTTTTATAATTCTAGCATTACTGTCACACTGTCATTCTAATGCATTGGATGTTCTAGGACTTGAACCTGCTGTTGTCTTTCCATGCAGAGATCTTGCTGGGAAACAGCTGAACATTTTGCTTTTTTTTATAAAAAAAAAGTTTGCCCCAAAATATGTTGTTTTCCTAGGAGATGTTATTTTTTTTCTAAGAATTCCTCATTCAAGTAGAGATGTGTTTAACAACTAATAAAAATTTTCTTAATCTTTTTTCTTAATCTTTTTAACCTTTTGTGATGCTTTCTTCATATATTTGTATGTTTCCTGTATGACTTTGTAAGCTACAACCTGGATTGTAGTGTTGTAGATGTTAGCTATTTTTTTTTTAAGATTTTGCTTATTTATTTGAAAGACAGAGAGAGAAACAGAGACAGAGAGATCATCCATCTGCTGGTTCACTCCCCAAATAGCTGCAATAACTAGGGCTGGGCCAGGCTGAAGCCAGGAGCCTGGAACTTCATCTGGGGCTCCCAATTGGATGACAGGAGCCCATGTACTTAAACCACTCTTCGTTGCTTTCCCAGGCACATTATCAAGGAGCTAGATTGGAAGTGGAGCAGTGGCACTTTAATATGGGATGCTGGCTTCCCAAGCAGTACTTAACCTGCTGTGCCACAATACTGTCTCCAAAGAAACCTTAGGGAAATTGGATTATATTTTTGACAGAATTGAATGACAGTACTACATGTCAAAATTTATGGGATTCGGCTAAAGTTGGTTTTAGAAGGACATTTGTAGCATGAAATACATTAGAAAATAAGGGAGGGAAGTTCTATTTCTACAATGGCAGTATGAAGAACCCCAAAGCACTGCTCCCTAACAAAACAAGCATAATTGGTAAAAACTCAGAAATCTGAGTATAGACCTACCATATGATCCAGCCATCCCACTTCTGGGAATTTACCCAAACCAAAAGAAATCAATGTATGAAAGAGTTATCTGTACCCCATGTTCATTGCAGCACGATTCACAATAGCTAAGATACGGAATTGACCCAGATGTCCATCAACTGTTGACTGGATAAAGAAATTATGGTATATATGCACTATGGAATACTACTCAGCTGTAAAAAAAGAAATGAAATCCTATATTTTGCAACAAAATGGACACAACTGGAAACCATTATACTTAGTGAGATAAACCAGTCCCAAAAAGACAGATACCATATGTTTTCCCTTATCTGAGGTAACTAATAGAGTACCTACAATGTAATGTATGGGACTGAAATGGACATTTTGAGATTCGATGATTGTGTATAACCCTTGTCTCTTCTGTTGAGGAACAGTGTTTTTTTCCCATTCATACTATTTGTTGAACTCTTTTACTTAGTGTAGGGTTAACTTTATGATCATTAAGTAAACTGAAAGTAGGTCTTTGTAAAAATTAAGAGTGGGAATGTGAGAGGGAGGACGAAGAAAAGTTGGAGTGTAGGTGGAGGGAGGGTAGGGTGGAAAGTGTCATTGTGTTCCTAAACCTGTATATATAAAATACATGAAACTTGTATAACTTAAATAAAATTAAAAAATACTTTAAAAATTTTTGATTTTGATGGCAGGAGGAGAGAGAGAGGAGAGAGAGAAAGAAAAGGAGGGGAGGGGAGGGGAGGGGAGGAGAGGGGAGGAGAGGGACATATACACCACAACTGAGATCTCATTCTCTGGTTCATTTTCCACATGCTCATTATTCACAAGAGCTGGGGATGGACCAGGCTTGAATCCAGGAGCCAGAAACTCACCCAGGACTCCCAGCTGCATGGCAGGGACGCACATACTTGAGCTATCACTGCTGCCTCCCAGAGTCTGCGTGAGTAGAGCGGTGGAGTGAGCAGCCAGAGCTGGGTGTAGAATCCAGGCTCTCTAACAGCGCTGTGAATGTCCTAATGGCATCTTAACTGCTAGACCAGATGCCCACCCAAACAGACACTCTTTAGAGTTTCTGGAAATTGTATAAGGCTATAAAGCAAATAGAGACCTATTTATTCAAGAATATCAGTGACAACTTTGTTAAAACTGAGTGTCTGTGACATTTGCACTGTGACTTGTGTTCATTTATTCCCTGTCCCTCCAGCTCAGCCTCGTGGAAATTTCATTCTCAATGGATGTGGCCAAGAAAATGGCTGTCTTTTCCCTCGGCTTCTAATCAAGAGAGAGAAAAAAAAAATCTCATTTGGAGGGGCATGCTGCCAGCATTTCTTATCTCTTTGATGTCTAAGTGGAAGAGACTATAAATTTCTGGTGAATACAGCTTAGTAGCGGTAGGGGCTTTCTTTTCTCCCCTCTGCCCCCGGTCAGGGCAGGGCTGTAACCCAGATGCAGCAGGTTGAGAGTACCACAGCCTGATTATGCTCTCCCCAGCTGGATCCTAGGACAGAGACTGCCTGTGCACAGGCTCCAGGTATCGGTTCAGAGCTTCTGACCCTGGGGAGGGGCAGTCCAGAAGCTCTCCCCAGAGAAACTGTATTGAAAGCAGAGTATGGGAACTCAAACCTGAAGATGCTGTGGGAAACAGTGGAGATTGGATATTAAGCCAAATTAGACATATGGTTTAACAAAAAGATAAGAGGAAGAAGCAGTCAATGAGAGAGTCTTTGTAAAATCACTGGCATCCCAGGATGACAATAATGCATACCTGAGGTCGCATCCACTGAGGAGTGACACCAAAGCCT